GTATGTGTTAAGCATGCCTGCTATCTTTATCTATGAAAACATTAATTCTTGTCATTCAATAGTTTAGCGAGATGCAAACTTTGCGTTAGAGAGTGGTAGTGGTAACTTAAAGTAACTACTATTACTGATTCGAAGATATGACCACGAAGACGACGAAGCGACAACGACTTTTGAGATGAACGAACGTTCGAACGACACTTGGCATCAAAGCTGTTGGTTGCTGGTGTTAATTCGGAAAAGTGTGAAGAAGAGCAGCTGCAGCTGCAGCTGTTTGTCTTCGTTGCGTGTGCGTATTTCGTGATCACTGAATGTGTGTGGCGGACAGCCATCTTCTTCTCGCAGCATTCTCATTTCTATTTTCATCCTCAGGTGTGGCACAAACAAATAGACAAACGGATGGACAGACATTCAGTCAAGTCGTGTGTGTTGAGTTGTCTGAAACTCATTAATTGCTTGTTTGATTAGATATTAAGAAATAAAAGAACACACATTTGCACATCATCATCAGCACAGCCTGAGATGTAGATGGAGATCCAGCACCAGCAGTAGAATAATAAGAATAAGACACAAGTTGTCAATTGTTGGTTCATTGTTGTTGCTTATTTTGGCATTGTGACAAAATGTGCAGAATTTTCCCGGGTATGTGATGTTATGTTTTGGGAAGTGTGTAACTGTGTCTTTTGTTTGTCTGTCCCATTGGAAATTTATTTTTAGATGGACTGTGGTGTGGAATAGATTCAGATTAAGCACCAAAAATTTGAATCCACGCCATAGATACTCCCTGAAAAAGTTTTTTTTTTAAATCTGCGCTTTAGATAGTTCCTGAAAAAAAATCGTCTTTGAAAAAATCTACGCCTTAGATAGTTCCTGAAACAAAATCTTCTTTGCAAAAATCTACGCCTTAGATAGTCCCTGAAAAACTCTTCTTTGAAAAATCCACCCCTTACACAGTCCCAGAAAAAATCTTCTTTGAAAAATCCACGCCTTACACAGTCCCTGAAAAAATCTTCTTTGAAAAATCCACGCCTTACACAGTACCTGTAAAAATCTTCTTAGTCCCTGAAAAAATCTTCTTTGAAAAATCCACGACTTACACAGTCCCTGAAAAAATCTTCTTTGAAAAATACACGCCTTAGACAGCCCCTGACAAAATCTTCGTTGAAAAATCCACGCCTTAGACAGTCCCTGAAGAAATCTTCTTTGAAAAATCCACGCCTTAGACAGTCCCTGAAAAAATCTTCTTTGAAAAATCCACTTCTTTGAAAAATCCACGCCTTAGATAGTCCCTGAAAAAATCTTCTTTGAAAAATCCACGCCTTAGACAGTCCCTGAAAAAATCTTCTTTGAAAAATCCACGCCTTAGATAGTCCCTGAAAAAATTTTCTTTAAAAAATCCACGACTTAGATAGTCCCTGAAAAAATTTTCTTTGAAAAATCCACGCCTTAGTCCGTGAAAAAATCTTCTTCGAAAAATCCACGCCTTAGTCCCTGAAAAAATCTTCTTTGAAAAATCCACGCCTTAGATAGTCCCTGAAAAAATCTTCTTTGAAAAATCCACGCCTTAGATAGTCCCTGAAAAAATCGTCTTCGAAAAATCCACGCCTTAGTCCCAGAAAAAATCGTCTTCGAAAAATCCATGCCTTAGTCCCAGAAAAATCTTCTTCGACAAATCCACGCCTTAGTCCCAGAAAAAATCTTCTGCGAAAAAGCAACGCCTTAGTCCCAGAAAAAATCCCAGAAAAAATCTTCTTCGAAAAATCCACGCCTTAGTCCCAGAAAAAATCTTCTGCGAAAAATCAACGCCTTAGTCCCAGAAAAAATCTTCTTCGAAAAATCCACGCCTTAGTCCAAGAAAAAATCTTCTTTAAAAAATCCACGCCTTAGACAGTCCCTGAAAAAATATTCTTTAAACAATCCACGCCTTAGACAGTCCCTGAAAAAATATTCTTTAAACAATCCACGCTTTAGATAGCCCTTGAAAAAATCTTCTTTTAAAAATCCACGCCTTAGATATTCTCTGAAAAAATCTTCTTTGAAAAATCCACGCCTTAGTCCCAGAAAAAATCTTCTTAGAAAATCCACCCCTTAGATGGTCCCTGAAAAAGTCTTCTTTGAAAAATCCACGCCTTAGTCCCAGAAAAAATCGTCTTCGAAAAATCCATGCCTTAGTCCCAGAAAAATCTTCTTCGACAAATCCACGCCTTAGTCCCAGAAAAAATTTTCTGCGAAAAAGCAACGCAACGCCCACGCCCTTGAAAAAATCTTCTTTAAAAAGTCCACGCCCTTGAAAAAATCTTCTTTAAAAAGTCCACGCCCTTGAAAAAATCTTCTTTAAAAAGTCCACGCCTTAGATAGCCCTTGAAAAAATCTTCTTTAAAAAGTCCACGCCTTAGATAGCCCTTGAAAAAATCTTCTTTAAAAAGTCCACGCCTTAGATAGCCCTTGAAAAAATCTTTTTTAAAAAGTCCACGCCTTAGATAGCCCTTGAAAAAATCTTCTTTAAAAAGTCCACGCCTTAGATAGCCCTTGAAAAAATCTTCTTTAAAAAGTCCACGCCTTAGATAGCCCTTGAAAAAATCTTCTTTAAAAAGTCCACGCCTTAGATAGTCCCTGAAAAAATCGTCTTCGAAAAATCCACGCCTTAGTCCCAGAAAAAATCGTCTTCGAAAAATCCATGCCTTAGTCCCAGAAAAATCTTCTTCGACATATCCACGCCTTAGTCCCAGAAAAAATCTTCTGCGAAAAAGCAACGCCTTAGTCCCAGAAAAAATCCCAGAAAAAATCTTCTTCGAAAAATCCACGCCTTAGTCCCAGAAAAAATCCCAGAAAAAATCTTCTTCGAAAAATCCACGCCTTAGTCCCAGAAAAAATCTTCTTCGAAAAATCCACGCCTTAGTCCCAGAAAAAATCTTCTTTAAAAAATCCACGCCTTAGACAGTCCCTGAAAAAATCTTCTTTGAAAAATCCACGCCTTAGATAGTCCCTGAAAAAATCTTCTTTAAAAAATCCACGCCTTAGATAGTCCCTGAAAAAATCTTCTTTAAAAAAATCCACGCCTTAGATAGTCCCTGAAAAAGTCCTTCTTTAAAAAATCCACGCCTTAGATAGTCCCTGAAAAAATCCACGCTTTAAAAAGTCCACGCCTTAAAAGTCCCTGAAAAAGTCCTCTTTAAAAAATCCACGCCTTAGATAGTCCCTGAAAAAGTCCGCTTTAAAAAATCCACGCCTTAGATAGTCCCTGAAAAAGTCCGCTTTAAAAAATCCACGCCTTAGATAGTCCCTGAAAAAGTCCGCTTTAAAAAATCCACGCCTTAGATAGTCCCTGAAAAAGTCCACTTTAAAAAATCCACGCCTTAGATAGTCCTTGAAAAAGTCCACTTTAAAAAATCCACGCCTTAGATAGTCCCTGACTACTTTAAAAAATCCACGCCTTATATAGTCCCTGAAAAAATCCACTTTAAAAAATCCACGCCTTAGATAGTCCCTGAAAAAGTCCTCTTTAAAAAATCCACGCCTTAGATAGTCCCTGAAAAAGTCCACTTTAAAAAATCCACGCCTTAGATAGTCCCTGAAAAAGTCTTCTTTAAAAAATCCACGCCTTAGATAGTCCCTGAAAAAGTCTTCTTTAAAAAATCTACGCCTTAGATAGTCCCTGAAAAAGTCCACTTTAAAAAATCCACGCCTTAGATAGTCCCTGAAAAAGTCCACTTTAAAAAATCCACGCCTTAGATAGTCCTTGAAAAAATCTACGCCTTAGATAGTCCCTGAAAAAGTCCACTTTAAAAAATCCACGCCTTAGATAGTCCCTGAAAAAGTCCACTTTAAAAAATCCACGCCTTAGATAGTCCCTGAAAAAGTCCACTTTAAAAAATCCACGCCTTAGATAGTCCCTGAAAAAGTCCACTTTAAAAAAATCTACGCCTTAGATAGTCCCTGAAAAAGTCCACTTTAAAAAATCCAAGCCTTAGATAGTCCCTGAAAAAGTCCACTTTAAAAAATCCACGCCTTAGATAGTCCCTGAAAAAGTCCACTTTAAAAAAATCTACGCCTTAGATAGTCCCTGAAAAAGTCCACTTTAAAAAATCCACGCCTTAGATAGTCCCTGAAAAAGTCCACTTTAAAAAATCCACGCCTTAGATAGTCCCTGAAAAAGTCCACTTTAAAAAATCCACGCCTTAGATAGTCCCTAAAAAAGTCCACTTTAAAAAATCCACGCCTTAGATAGTCCCTGAAAAAATCTACGCCTTAGATAGTCCCTGAAAAAATCTACGCCTTAGATAGTCCCTGATAAAATTTACGCCTTAGATAGTCCCTGAAAAAATTTACGCCTTAGATAGTCCCTGAAAAAATCTACGCCTTAGATAGTCCCTGAAAAAATCTACGCCTTAGATAGTCCCTGAAAATGTCCACTTTAAAAAATCCACGCCTTAGATAGTCCCTGAAAAAGTCCACTTTAAAAAATCACGCCATAGATAGTCCCTAAAAAAGTCCACTTTAAAAAATCCACGCCTTAGATAGTCCCTGAAAAAGTGCACCTTAAAAAATCCACGCCTTAGATAGTCCTTGAAAAAGTGCAATTTAAAAAAATCCACGCCTTAGATAGTCCCTGAAAAAATCCTCTTTAAAAAATCCACGCCATAGATAGTCCCTGAAAAAGTCCCCTTTAAAAAATCCACGCCTTAGATAGTCCCTGAAAAAGTCCACTTTAAAAAATCCGCGCCTTAGATAGTCCCTGAAAAAGTCCACTTTAAAAAATCCGCGCCTTAGATAGTCCCTGAAAAAGTCCACTTTAAAAAATCCACGCCTTAGATAGTTCCTGAAAAAATCCTCTTTAAAAAATCCACGCCATAGATAGTCCCTGTAAAAAAATGTTTCTTTAAAAAATCCATGCTTTATAAATACAAGACTTAGATAGTCCCTTAAAAAATATTCCTTTAAATATCCACTTCTCAGAGAGCTCTGGAAAATATTATTTAAAATTTCTGTTTTTTCCTTTTCAGAATCGAAGTAGAAATTTTAGATTTAAACGACAATATGCCAGAGTTCGAAGCCGATTTCTACAATATATCGATTGTAGAAAATCTACCCACCGGCTTTAGTGTCCTGCAAGTCAATGCCGTGGATCGTGATCAAGGTGAAAATGCTGAATTCCTCTACAATCTCAAAGAGAAACCCGATGCGAAGGGTGCATTCTGCATCGATTCTCGTACGGGTTGGATAACAGTTCATGACGATCGTTTATTGGATCGTGAAAAACGTAAATCGATACATTTAGAAGTTGAAGCTCTGGAACGAATGCCATCGTATATGGATGATATTAATTCAAAGAAACCACCACCGAATTCGGTGAAAGTGGAAATAACCCTGCTCGATCAAAACGATAATACACCGAAATTTGAAAATGGTAATTTATATGAATTTAAGGTACCCATAACCGCGTCAGTGGGCTATGTGGTGGGACAGGTATTGGCTCGAGATCCCGATGAGGGACCGAACGGTATGTTATTGTACGATATGCAAAGACCAAAGAAAAGTGGTTATATACCATTTCGATTGGATAGTAAAAATGGTACAATTTATGTGTCGGGGCCATTGAGACGGGGGCGTATTGCGGTGTTTGTGGAGGCCAGTGATCAGGTGAGTCAGATATAATATTACAATTAATTATTCCTTATTTAAATAAATGCCTTCTTAGCCTCTAAATCCCTCGGAGCGACGTTTCTCATTGGCTGTTATTACCATCGAGGTATTTGCCACCTTGGATGACCAGTCGATTGACTTCATTGGTGCTCCCTATGAATTTTGGATAGGCTCGAATGCCCCGCTCGGTACTTCGGTGGGACAAGTACGCACCACCCTTCTATATGATGGTGATGATGATATTATGTATGATCTGCTGCACACATATTCCGAAGGTGTTCCATTTGCCATTGAGGAGAGATCGGGAATAATTACAGTTATCCGTGAATTGCAGGAATTTAAACGGAAGGTTTATCATTTTGAAGCGGTTGCGAATTATGTAAGTGGCAATAATTTTAATTGGCTGTGAGTGAATTTAATAATTTGTTTTTCTTAGCTCTTTGCAAATGCCACTCAACCATTAATTATGGCTCGTAGCAAGGAACCCTTGACCACGGTACCAGCACCAGATTTAACAGATGAAGGTGTCCTCATAACAAATGTTACAATACATGTCATCAGCAAACCGGATAATCAAGTGCCATTGAGGCCTGTAATAGAGTAAGTACAAATAACACTATGTAACTAAATATTATCATGACCTTGTGGTAGATAATTATTTATGAGATGAAAGCCTATGGTGAGTGTAAAAATAACCCAGAAGAAAAAACCACCATGAGACATGTTTTTATACCCTTCACCACACTGTGGTACAGGGTATTATGTCTTTGTGCATATGTTTGTAACAGGCAAAAGGAATCGAGATAGACCCATGGTTCCTTTTGAGAATATGCATAGAATCACATTCTGAATCGATTTATGCATGTCCGTCTGTCCGCCGTCCAAGTATTTTTGTGTGAACAAAATACAGGTCGCATTTATGATCCGATTTGGAAGAAATTTGGCACATGTTACTTATTTGGTCCAAGGAGAATCCTATTGAAATTGGAGAAAATTCAGGTTTAGATATAGCTCCCATATATAGTTTCGTCCGATTTTATGTAAATGTTACACCAAACTCCCAATATTGGTCCGATTGAGACAAATTTTCCACAGAGTACTGAATTAGGTCCAGATTGATATATGCGAAGTTTTGTTGAAATCGGTTTAGATTTAGATATAGCTCCCATATATAGTTTCGTCCGATTTTAGGTAAATGGTCCACCAAACTCCCAATTTTTGTCCGATTGAGATAAAATTTGGCATTATGTATGGAACTGAGACTAAGATAGAGTGTGTTAAGTTTCATTGAAATCGGATAAGATATGGATATAGTTCGTCCGATTTTAGGTAGATGGTGCACCATCTGAGGCAAAAGTAGTGAGTACTGAGTTAGGTACACATAGACGTATGCGAAGTTTTGTTTCGTCTTCATGCAATTTGTGCACTAAATAATAAAGGTTTCACCTGCCGAGATGAAATTGTGGACAGCGCAAGGTGCTGCAGCATACTATATGGCGTATGACACGATTGTTCGATTAAGCCCTGATTTACATATAGCTCCCATTCATAATTTTGCTACTACTCTAAAGAATCCATGTCAGCTCAATTGACATGCAATTTTTCATAGATATCTGAATGGTATGTGTATGGTTTGTTCATTGGTTCCAATATCTATGTAGATCACACATTAAATTTCCAATTCCATGGTCCTCCAAAGATGTTAAGTCGGTTCTGTCTAGAGGATATTGTATATATTAGCAAACCTTGTGTGTACTAATAGTGATGAAGGGTATCATATACTGTTTTTTTTTTTTTTTTAATTTCTGAGGTTGAATGCTCAAACATTGTGTCGATGGCAGATTTTGGCCGATGCAACCCAGGTCGAATTACTGGATTAAGTTGTTCCTAGGTTAGGAGATTAATTGATCGTCCGCATAGATTAACTTGCGGGAAGCAATCGAAAGAACATCGTGAATTTATAGATGGAAAAGTGTAGGATCTAGTACAGAACTCAGTAGGTTGTTGTTTAGTGAAAATGCGGTTGGTGAGGAAACTTTATGTAATATTGCGAATTCTACTGAACGGAATGATTATACCCTACACAACTATGTTGTCAGGGTATTATAGCCGCGAAATATTGGTCCTAGACCCACCTTTACCGATCGTCATATCTCGACTAGCTGAGTCGATCTAGACATGTGTGTCCGTCCGTCGGTCCATTATAATTTGTAAACACGATACAGGCCACAGTTATGGACCATCTTCACGAAATTTTGCATGTAGGATGGGTTCTGGCCTATTGTTTTTGGTAAAGATCGCTTAATATTTAGGGGATGAAATGGACCAAATACTAAATTTTTGTCGGTTTTTCTGGTCGCTCCAGTGGCCGCAATTATGGCTCGCAAATCGTGAAATTTTACATGGAGAAGGGGATCGGGCCAAAGAATAAACATGCCTGTTTTGATAAAGATCAGTCAATATTTAGCGGGTAAAATGGACCCAGGCTTTTGTGTGAAAAATTACAAAATTTGTATTCTATAGCGTATATATTTACTCCTGAAGGGCATATAGCCGAGAAGTTTATAGTATATCCAAGAGGAGTGGTTGACCTTTAAATTGATACCAATTATATTGTCGTATGTAATCGGATGTGGGAATTATTTAATTATTTATTATTTAATAAACCATTACCACACCAGAGGGCGGAAATATAGCGCTGATCGCTTCGTTGATGATCAGATAATAATTTTTGGATGAAGTGGACCGAAAACTTTTTTTTTTTTTTTTGATTCAAAAAGCCGAACATCGCAACACAACCCACGGTAAAGTGAATCTGGATAAGTAATTAGAAGGGTTGTACTAAAAATTAGTAATATTCGGAAAATATGTCAGTGTATGGAAGAGGTGCTATTGACCTCTACTCCGGCAAGAGGGTGCAAAATCTGCAGAATGATAGAGTTCTGTGGCAATTGTGTAGGGTATCGGCCCCGTCCGACTATACTGCTCCGCTCACTGGTTTTATTTATTTCAGTAGGAGTCCTTTTATCCATACTGTGTCATAGGCAGCCGACAGATCGACAAATGGCACCGCTGTTTTTTTTTAATTTGGTCGAGAACATTTTCTAAGAAATACTAGTACTTGCTCGGTGCAGTTTCTATATTTTCTAAATTCACCTAGACCCAGGTGGGATAAACTTAAACATGTCTTCATGAATTCGGTTCAATATAGACCTTTCTAATAATATTAGGCACAGTAAGTGGAGGGCAATAGGTCGGTAACTCTAAGCTTCAGCTGAATTCTGTTCCTTGTATGGGGCAATAACTTTAGATTTCATAATGGGGCCCGGAATATGGTCTGGGTGAAGAATATCAGTATAAAATCTGGCGAACCAATCCTTGAACCAAGACCACATGCCTCATCGAAATATTGGCTTTAGACCCCATGTTTCTTCAAACCCAGTCCGTTTCAGACAATTTGGAGTCGATTTACAAATGTCAGTCCGTCTTATATCTTATATAAAGCTAATAATAAATATCTGTGTAATTCCGAAGACCTTCGCTAGCCAAAGGCAGAGGATATATATCTGTCGGTAGGGCCGAACATATAATACCCTACACAACGACCACAGAGCTCTAATTTTCTGCAGATCTATATTCCAGCCAGGGTAATATTAGGTTGGGGAAAAAGAAATCCGTTATTTTTTCGGCAGATGGCTATACTGATAGATTTGTCGTAAAGTATCGATCAAACAGTTTCAGATTTATGCTTGTTGGAGGGGTGACATTTCGCAGCAAATAAATTATTTTGCTGGTTTTTGTTTGGTGCATTCAGTTGCGAGTTACAGGGTGTTAAAAATGGATGTGAAGAAAGGTGCAAATGCAAGCCAAGCGACTAAAAATGTGAATGGTGTTTATGGTTTCGATACTGTAGCAGACAATTATGTGCAAATTTGGTTTCGTAGATTCCGTTCAGGAAACACAGCCGGTCGTCGAAAATGTCGATAAAATCGAAGAAATGATCGAAGTTGACTGGCATCGACTATAAAACTGTTTTAAACCATTGACAATTGATCGGAAACGGTTTGGAATTGGCCAACAGGAGATGTGTCGTGTTCCACCAGGACAAGCTAGAACACACACATCTACAGTGACTCGCCAGACACTTCGGAAGCCTGGTTGGGAAGTTTTAATGCATCCACCATACAGTCCGGACTTGGCACCAAGCGATTATCATCATTTTCTTGCATTGCAAAATTTCTTTAATGAATAACCAGTAAGGAAAGTAGTAAAGTCGGACGGGGCCGACTATATGATACCCTTCACCACTTTGGGTATATCCAACAGATGGAATCCTAACAGACGTCGAATTTTTGAAGGACCAATAACATGAAATTCAACATGTCATTCTGCAAACTATACTAAATTTTGGTCAGATTTAGAGTTGCTTCTTACAATGGGACAAAATTATGTAAATAAATTCAAAGCCAAATATCGAAATCTAAACCGACTTCGAGTTCTTCATTTCGTGCAAATGGAAGGATATATAGGGATTTTGGTGTACCATTTACATAAAATCGGACGAAAATATATATATGCGACCTATATCTAAATCTGAACCGATTTTCACGAAATTTAAAACACATCTTTCTAGACTTAATTCTGTACGCTATGCCAATTTTCGTGCAAATCGACCTGTACTTTGTTTACTATTTAACATGGACAGACAGACGGACGGACATGCATAAATCGACTTAAAAAGTGATTCTATGCATATTCTCAAAAGGAACCAAGTGTCTATCTCGTTTCCTTTTGCCTGTTACAAACATATGCACAAAGACATAATACCCTGTACCACAGTGTGGTGAAGGGTATAAAAATTGGTATCTAGGGAGGTTTGTGAAAATCGACTTATAGATTTTTTTTGCAAATAGGGAACAGATTGTCCATAATTTATGGGGTATCCCGTGAATATATCGGAGTGACAAAATTAATATGCGGTCCACCTTAAGGTTAAGGGTATAAAAATAATAGGATGTAAATATTTTACGATGTGAATAAAATTGGACTTTTCTCTTCATACTCTTCATATTGCTGTATTATGAACCGAAAGTAAATTCCTATGAAGAAAATTATCAATATATGTCCATGTTTGACCGATTTTCAATATCATAGTCATAGTTCTTGAAAATTATCGACATAGGCCCATATTTTGACATAGGCTCATATAAAGATCCCGCCTTATTTTCGATGCATTTCATAATCTTGGAGGTTGATAAGAATTTTGCAAAAAAGTGGTAGATATGTTCACACAGAAAGGTCCTGCACCATTCAGTGGACTTATGTCTAACATTTTCTGGGAAAATGGATGTTACCCTCCAAGGTACCGGACAATATATATATATATTAAAGGTATTGGCCGCAACTTCCCACTAATGTGGCTGTGATGTGACATGGCGGTATTTTGGAGGGTAAGAAACATCTGCCCTGTAAATATTATAAATAAGTCCATGTTTTGAAGGTTCCGTTAAATTTCCGATCATTTGAAGTTTATAGCCACCATTTCACCGAAGTGGCTATAATTTGAAACTCTGGGTTTTTGAAGGGTGAGACATATATTTGCCAGACATTTTCGATATATTTCCCGCTTAATTTTAGGATAGGCTAAAATTCCTAGCTCATTTTTCCAACCTGAGTGTCTGTAATTAGGACCAGAACTATTCAGAGCATGAACAAGCTTTATAAAGATGCCGATTGTTTTAGGAAATTCTGAATAAACAGGGTATACAAATTCTGCCCGGTCAAACTTGACTACGTTCTAACTTGTTGTTATTTTCCAATTACATTTCATTTATTTTTCTTCTTTTTACAGAGAAATCAATATGAACATAATCAAATTCCACATAGAGGAGAATATCGTTGGTGGCATTATTGGACAATTGCTCTACAAGAATGGCATAAATATTGTGAATAATGATCTTGAATCCTATCGGAGTTTACAAGCAGCACCGTCGGCGACAACAACAGTAGTATCATCACTATCCGAAACCAATATCACTTTAAATTCCCGCTTCCGCAGTAAATCTCCACGACGGCAAACACGGAAACGTCTACCAAGACGTTTGGCGCAGGATAGCAACATCAAGCTACGCTATATTATTGCCAATCAGCAGGAGGTTATAAATAAAATCTCCATAACCGAGGATGGTACCCTGTTGACTGTGACGGGGTTGGATCGTGAACAAAAAGATAAATACGATTTGACGGTGATTGTGGAATATACCACGGGATTGGTGAGCGGTGCGGGTATTTACCAAGTTGAGGTCAAAGTGGACGATGTCAATGATAATGCACCGGAATTTAATGATTTGACCTATATGGGTTTGATAAAGGAGAATAGTGCGAAAGGTTTTGAGGTGGCATTGAATCGTCCGATTGTTATCAAGGATAAAGATTTGGGTAAAAATGCTGAATTTAAGGTGGTCGTGCAGGGTGACTATAGTGATTTGTTTGATGTGACCTGGGTGCAGCAGGAAAATGCATCAGTGTTGACCAATTTACCCAGGAGACCGGAGCTATTTAATATTTATAATTTATCGGATCAATGGAATTATGATTTGAAATTTTTGGAGATGCAAGCAGATTTGAAACCATTTAATCTCAGGATGAATAATCAACCGTTCTTCAAGGTCTCGTATTCTGGAAGCCGTCCTCTGGATCGTGAAAAGGATCAGATTTATAATTTGAAATTATTGGCAATTGATACGGGCGGTTTGACTTCGTATGCGAATTTAAATATTTTGATTGCTGATGTCAATGATAATGCACCGATTTTTGAGAGGATATCGGTATTCAAAGATTCGAGGGTGGAGATCAGAGAGTATACCACCGATATGGAAATTTATTTTGTGGAATCCTCCATGGCTTCAATGCCGAATATGATGGCTTCGTTGACCAGTAATATTGTGGTGCCACCGTATTTTTTGCCAGGTTCCCCGAGACTGAATGGGGCCGAGGGGAGTTTTAATGACACACAATCTCCGCTGAGGCCGAGATCAAGAGCCCGGAGTAGAGGAAGGCCAAGGATCGCTCGAGCCATGGGAGGCTTAAGTAAATGTCCATTGTTTGCAATCTATGAGGATACCCCGCTGCTGAAGAAAATTCTACAGGTCACTGCTTCGGATGAGGATTATGGCCGAAATGCCCAGGTCCATTATGAAATTGTGGCGGAAAGTATTGATAAGCTGTATGGAGGAGGTGGAGCCACCCCGCTACCCAGTAAATTCAATCAACATCGATTTTTTGCCATTGATAAGCTGACAGGGGAGGTTATGATCAACTATCCACTGGTGGCCAATGTGGAGATTCTGCTAAATATCACTGCCAGTGACATCGATAACCTCAAGGATTCAACATGCTTACGCTTTACCATTATTGATGTGAACAATCATGCTCCAGTTTTCAAAAAGACTTGGTATAGTTTCGATACTGCCGAGGGAGAATACAAAGATTCGGTGTTGGGTCAGGTTCTGGCAGTGGATTTGGATTTTGGAGAAAATTCCAATGTCTCGTATGCCCTAAGTGATTCGGAATTGCCGTTTAGAATTAAACCCTTATCGGGTGTCATCAAAATATCCGGATCTCTGGATCGTGAGCTAAGAGATAAATATACCTTCCATGTTATAGCTTATGACAATGCTGAACCTTTATATCGTCTCTCATCCTCGGTGGAGGTTGAGGTCAATGTCCTGGATGTTAATGACAATAAACCGGAATTTATTGGCTATGACGACCTCGTCAAGGGCGATTTATATATACACGATTTCGCCGACAGGACCATGAAGGTACCCCTGTATAAAGCCTTCCTCGATCGTAATACCAAACCGGGGGCTTTTGTGAAACAAGTGAATGCTCTAGACAAAGACTACCTCGGCAATGGAAATGGTTTGGTTTTATATTCCATTCTGCATCACGACTCTCTGCCCATCTTCAACATAGACTCACGGGAAGGTATCATTACCACAATTTCCGATTTTAAGGGATACAACAACTATGGTCACCTAAATGTTACCGTAATTGCCTCAGACTTGGGTAGCCCCTCCCTCACCTCCACAGCCATTGTTTTAATCAATCTACAAGGTCAGGTCATTGTGGAGACAACCACAACGCCGAAACCCGAAGATCCCTTCCTGACGGGGAATTTATCCATCTTCCAACATCAGTACTATGAAATACAAATTCAGGAGAACAATGAATCTCCCACCGAATTAATGAAATTAAATTTCACCAAGGGTTTCAATCCAGAAACCTATAAGTGGACACTATGGGTGGAGGAGGGACAAGACAGCCAACAGGATGCATATCCTCCCTTTGAATTTGATCCGAAATTATCTACACTATACGCACTCAAATCTTTCGATCGTGAACAAGTTGACCGTTATCAGATACGCCTGAAAGGTGAAAAGCCAAATCGTGAAGGACGTACCTATACCCGTCTAGCCTATCCGGTGGTTGATGAACGTCTCGAGGGTTTGGAACACAACGAGTGTCGCATACTCATCAAAATTCTCGATGAAAATGACAATTCACCAACATTTAAAACTGCCGGACAGCCAATCATTGCAGTGGTACCACGAACCGCCTCATTTGGTTATCCCATTACGCGGGTGGAAGCCACGGATCCGGATTATGGTCTAAATGCAGAAATCAGATATCGATTACTCAATGACCATTCGAGGCTATTTGCCATCGATGAAACTAGTGGAAAAATTCGACTCATTAGTACAATTGAATCGGCTTCGGATAGGGTATATGGTTTTGATGTTAAGGCCATGGATCGTGCTGGGGCCGATGATGGTCGTAGCAATATTATAAATGTCTTTGTTTATGTCATCGATGAGAAGAAACAAGTCCGTATTGTGGTGGCGGGTAAGCCGGTCGATGTGGAAAAGAAAATCGATGCATTGATGTTGACGCTGAGTGATGCCATTGGAATGGAGGTGCGTGTACGTCTATTGGAACCACATATCGGGAGTGCGGAACCAGCGTAAGTACATGGTTTTATATTTTAATATTAAATTTAGTCGAGAGATGATTGTATAAGGCGCCACATGATCGGCCTCTCCGAATATACAAACAGCTGTAATTTCATGGAATTATTGTCCCAAAATATACTACACTGCAATTTTTAAACGTATATGAGTGTAATATAGACTTCTTCAAAGACTTCCCGGATTTTGGAATTCTATGCTAAATGTAATGGCCTCGTTGACAAGTAATTTTGTGATGCCAATATATTTTGCAGGTTCACTACGACTAAGTGACCCAGAGGCCCTGATCAAGGGATAGGATTAGACGAATCACAATGATAGCGATGGGAGGCCTTAGTGAAATTCCGGTGTTTGCTACCTATGAACATAGCCTACTGCTGAAAAACCAAATGTCCAAATCCATTTTGGAATTGTGGTCGAGAGCATTGACAAGCTAGACAGTACATTTAACGGAATTGGTAAAACTTCGATGTATGAATTTTGGGATAGTTGGATTAGTTGGCCGGATTCCCTCCCCGGTTGTCAAAAAAAACCCGAATAAGTAGACCCCATAAATATTTGCGTATAACTGCCACGTTCATGTACACACATCACAATAATTGGTATCCATTTAAAGGTCAACCACTCCTTGTGGATATACTGTCAACTGATCTGGTATATATACTTTAGGTGTAAATATATACGCCATAGAAATCAATTTTTTGTCATTTTTCATGCAAATGCCTGGGTCTATTTGACCCACTCAAATCAGCAATGTTTATTCTTTGGCCAGATTCCCTTCTTCGATAAGGGGAGAAAAATAAAGTTTTTGGTCCATTTCATCCCCAAAATATTATCCGATCATTACCAGAACCCGTCCTAGATGTAACATTTCGAGACGATTGTGACCTGTATCGTGTTTTCTAACGGACGGGAGATGGACGGCCATAACCTTGAAAACACCCAAAATTGGGCGAATCTATATCGTAATAGTTTTGCAAAAATGTAGCTCACCCTCCAAGAACCTGAGACTCCAAATTACAGCCAATTCGGTGGGGAACTTCTGTAATCGAAATTTGGAGGGACCTCTTTAGACGTGGGCTTACATTCAGCTTCCATCATCCAAAAATACAAAATTACATCCACTTTGGTGGGGAAATTCGCCTAAAACCTTCAAAATACCGAAAAAGGGGGTGGAACATTTATATGGGGCTATGTCAAAACATTGTCCTTTATTGATAACTTTCTGCATAGATTTATGTCAGCGTTCAAAAACCTGATATGCTAAATAACAGCCCTTTCGATTTGGAAAATGAGGCTAAAGACTTCAGAAGATCGAAATTGGGAGGTACACAGGAGCTATACCAAAACCGATCTAAGCCATTTAATTACCAAATTTCATAGAAGTAATAGAAATTTCAGTGCAATCTCCTTCTTAAATAGTGCAATATCAATCGAGATTTCAACAAACATATAATTTTATTCTGATCAATAAATTATATGTGTATGGAGTATCAGGTGGAAATTTACCTACCTGTGATCCTCATTCGAAACACTCCCAATGCTACCCATCGATGCCACAAGAATGATACTATTTTTCGTATTAGGAATTATTCAAAAAATAAGCCTTTTCGTACACATACGTACCAATATTGAACCTCAACATTTTAAAATTCGAGCCCATTTTTGACATTTTTCTGCATTTAGTCCCAATTTCCAACCGAAGAGGTTATAATTTTGCAAATCATATTTCGTGTTTTTCAGATGATAAAATATATATTTGCAGAACATGTTTTATATAGTCTTTTTTTTTTTGCATTATTCAATATATATATTATCCACCTAGAACACAATTTGGCATTCGGGATTCTTCTCGCACTAAATGTCCATTACATGCCCATTCTTTGGACCAGTATATAGGACCACGTTTTGACATATCGTATATAAGGTTCTCGCTTAGGTACATCGGGATTTTAGAGGCTACAAAAATTGTTTACAGACTATTTTCAATATAGACTAATTATATGATATGCAAAAATCTCAATCTATTTTAGGCATTTAATAGTATTGGGAAAACGTCTAAATAACAAAATTACAAGGCACTTATGTTTGTAAATTAAGCTAGGATCTTCGATATACTGCAAGTTCGAAAGAAAATGTGCGACGACCGCGAGACTATTTTGTGGAATAAATGTGAAAACATTAACCAACATTTTTATTCTGCCAAGTAGTATTTTAATCTCTGAAATTTCGAAATACCTACTTAATTTCATATCGCTTGGAAACTGAGGCTAGAAACTACCTTACTTAGAAATTGGCGGTTGCTTTATATTAGATTAATGTCGAAACATGGAGCTATATTGACAGTTTTCTGCAAATAAGTTTAGAAGCAACAAGAGACTGAAATGACAAAATATTTCCACTTCGGTTGGAAAATGCACGTAGAGCCATTAACACCGTAAATTTAAGGCGGTAATTTCAAAACATGCACCTATATTGGATTTTTTGTTTTATCATTTTAAATCCCTGTATATTTATCATGTGAAACCCTTGAATGCTTTCTTAAAAAAATGTTTCGATAAAAACGCGTTGAAAGTTTGAGAGTCACTCTTGCCATCACTTGATGCTGAAACAATAAATCGGCTATATCTTCAAGAGTTCTTGAGATTTTCACTTGAAATTTTGTAGGGACATTCTTGAATCAGAGTAGATTCGAACTAAATCAAAAAAATTTTACACCGAGAATGGGGGGTCCCCTTAAAGCCAACGTTATATTCCACAATCCCGGAAGAAAATGTGTCCATAATTCGGTAGAAAAACGTGTCCATACTCTATAAAATACAAACATTTGGAATGTACCGTTATATTTGGACTATCGTATAAAAAGTGAACCAATATTAACAACCCAAAGTACAAAATTACAGCCAATTCGGTTGAAAAACTTGATTCCAAATTAAAGCCAATTTGGCGGAAAAACGTATCCATATTCCCCATAATACCGAAAATTTTGAGGTACCATATGGGGCTATCCTAAAAAATCAATCAATATTGTTAATTTTTGATAGGAAGATATATTATCTAATGAGAACCCAAAATACCAAATGACGATTATTTCGAAAGTGAACCAATATATCTCATTTTCAATAAAAAAACATCCTAGGAGTAATAACAACGTATGGGCAAAATTTTAAGGCTCTATCTTGCGATGTCCGTCTATTACAACAGATAGCGGACATGCATAAATCGACATAGAATTATACTGATAAAGAATATTTACTTTATGGGATCTCTTGTTAATATTTTAAGGTGTTACAAACGGAATGGCTACACCTTATGTTGGAGGATATAAAACCTCAAACAAAAGCTACGAATCAAGATATGAAGCTACATTTTATATATTCGGTTGGGGAAAAAGCATTGTATTATTTTTATATGAAGCATAGGACTTTATTTAACATGCTTCGGATTTGGGTCAAATATGCACCGTTCTGTTGCCATTTTAAAGGTAACTTCATAATGCCTGTCTAATAGAAGTCCTGTCGTCCGTCCGTCCGTCTGTCCATTATAATTTGTAAATACGATACAGGCCACAGTTATGGACAAATCTTCACGAAATTTTGCATGTATGATGGCTTCTGGCTAATGAAGACCCCTATTGTTTTTGGAAAAGATCGGTTAATATTTAGGGGATGAAATGGACCAAAAACATTATTTTTGTCTGTTTTTCTGGTCGCTCCAGAGGCCGCAATTATGGCCCAATCACCTCGAATTGGGAGTTACATCAAATATTTACAGGTGCTTACGTTTTCAGATATTATTTAATAACCCATTACCACATTAGAGGGGAAAATATCGCGCTGATGGCTTTAAAATTTTTCATGAAGTTCCAGTTATGGTCAAGAACAACGCCTACAATTTTCGGTGATGATCAGATTAAAATTTTGGGATAAAATGGACCGAAAACTAAATTTTTTGTGTGTTTTCGAGTCGAATATAATCCGAAAATCACAACACAACCCACCGTGAAGGAAATCTGGACAAGTAATTAGAAGGACAGTACTGAATATTCGAAAAAGTAAGGAAGAGGTGTTGTTGACCTCTAAACGGGCATAAGGGGACAAATATCACGAAATATTACTCAGACTCGGAATGAACATCCTCAGAAAGTTAGAGTTCGTGGTAGTTGTGTAGGGTATCGTATGGTCGGCCCCGTCCGACTATACTGCTCCGCTCACTGGTTTATCATTAAAGAAATTTTGCAATGCAAGAAGAAGATTATAATCAATTGGAGACAAGTCCGGACTGTATGGCGGATGCATTAAAAATTCGCAACCAAGCTCCCGAAGTTTCTGGCGAGTCACCGGAATGTAGATGTGTGTGGCCTAGCGTTGTCCTGGTGGAACACGACACCTCTCCTGTTGGCCTATTCTGGTCAATTTATATTTTCAAACGATCCAGATGTTGAGACAATGGATTAGAATTTAGCGTTTGGCCATATGGAAGCAACTCACCAAATGCCTAGGAGAACCTTCCTGGCCGTTAGTCCTGGTTTGGCCACCGTTTGAGGTGCTTCACCGCTCTTGGACCATCGTTTTTGCACAGCGTTATCTCATCTCCAGTCACCTTCATTTTATGAAATACGTGTATCTCATTCCGTCTGGCCAAGGCTTCGCAAATGGAAATTGGATCCATCCTTTTTTTTCTGTTAATTGGTGTGGCACCCAAACATCGAACTTCTTTTTGAGTCCAGCTTTGTATAAATGGTTTAAAACAGTTTTATTGTTGATTTTAGCTCCTGAGCGATGTTACGACTGCTAACATGGCGGTCAACTTCGATCATTTCTCAGATTTTATCGACATTTTCGACGACGGGCCTAATGGATTACTTTTTCCCCAACCTAATATTTTAATCTTATTTATTTAAATATTTTTCCACAAATTACAAAATTTTTATAGGAAACTCAATACTGTAATTTTCTCATTTGCAGAACTGATGCCTACATTTACGCAGTGGATTATCGAACCAATTCAATTGTTGAAATGGAGCAACTGCAAGAGTAAGTTTTTCAATATTTTTTTTTTACCAAACGAAACCCACACAAAATACGAATTTGTCTTTCTCCCCTCCTAGGTCATTGTCCACAATTCAGTTGGACACGTTGCAATTGCATCAACAACAGCAGCTGCAACAGAATGCCCAAAATGGCTATTGGGATGTAAGCAAGACAATGCCGCGTATCATTGAGTTGGCTGAGCTGGGTAAAATTCCCCATAAATCTACACATAGTGCAAATTTTTGGAGCAGTTTGGAAATAGTTGCTATTGTGTTGGTGGCCTTTTGTGGCGTGGGATCGGTGTTGACGGCTTTGTGTTTTATGTGTATGCGGCAAAAACGGTAAATTAATGATGGTCAAGACAAACAGACACACACACATATACATACAAATAACTATATAAGAGACTGAATTTGAATTTAAAATAGAAGAAGCGATCTTATTTTTTTATAAACACAAATTTGATTTAAATAATTTATTACTAAGTTTGCCATAGTATTTAAAAACAAATATAAGCTAAATAAATACATTTTGTGAATTTTTTAATGCACACATACATACATAGTCCAATAAGGGGGAGTTTTCACTTGAAAGCACAAACAGAGTGGGTTTTCATTGTGTTAATGATGCCTCTGAAATCATGACCATCGGTTGATTGATTGTTGGCAGGTTGATCACTGATCACAACAACATCCAATCGCTTCCATTATTGATCACCTCAAAGGTGCCATCATCATGTTGCACTAAATCAAAAACTAACGGTACTTCCTTTCTGTACACCATCATCATACCATATTCTGCGAAACATTTAACCTCAATCCGCATAAATGTTGTGCAGAACTAGGCTCCTAGAACAATAACTCTTATCTCGACGTTTGTGTGTTTGTTTTATGGACTAACTTTACAAGTCTCTGAAACTATTTCAATAATTCAAACAATTTATGTATGTATGCCTGAGTGTGTGTTTGTGTCTGTCTAATTAAATCTTGTAAACTTGATTTCTTGTTCTAACATCTCTCAAGAATGCAAGTTAGAACATTTTATGTTCTCTTTTAGTTGCAAGTTGTCCGGACAGCATCCAACTTGCAACTAAGAACTTAAGAACTTTTATTGATTTCTTGCAAACTTTAGATTTGTTCTCATTTTTTTCTTTTCTATTTTCATTTCCCCCTTCCCTTTTGCTGTGTTCTGTTTTCTTGCAGTGGTTTATGGTCTCAACAGGAATTTCCATCATCTGAAACTGGTTTAACATATACCATAGCACGTGCTGGCCTGGATACATGTCGTAGACGTCGCCATCGGACACATCAGCAAGCTGTGGCAGCTCAAGAACAACAATTGCATCAACAGCAGTTGCAACGTCAAAGTCAACGTAAGTAGCACAGATTCCAAGAAGATAAAAAATAAAACCTGCAAAATTTGGTGAAGTTAAACGTTGGATACATGGAAGAGATTGAGAAAATAATGAATCCAAGTCAAGGGCATTCGAATTTCTTTATTTCATATTGTGTCAATTTAATTTTACATCAAATGTTACAATGGTGGAAATCGGTGCTGACCAAAACTGAGAATCGATGATTACAAGGTGTGATGAAAACAACACACAACGTATTTTTTGGCCATGACCTACCACCACAACTCTTTTTCTGGAAAAATTATTATGTTTCTCCCTTATATAGAACTCCCTATATTTCTTTTTATATGCAGAACTTTGAATGCATCCTCTCAAAACTCTTATTTACTCCTTTTAATATTATTCCAGAATCACTATGTTCCTCGGCGAAAACTCAATCGACCGCATTGGCAACACAAAAACTAACACCGACGCCGGCACAACCGGAATGGACACAACAACAGCAGTTGCAGCAAAAAGCTCAAAGCCTCCAACAAAGTCTATCACAAACACCAACAAATAGTTCACATCAGCATCAACATTTTCATCATTCGCATTCCCATTCACACATACATCAACATCAGCATCAATCGCTGCCGTCGTTACAGACACCACCGCAGCAGACGCATCACTATTTGCCACAGGTGCAACATCATCATCAGCATTTGAATAATGAGTGAGTAGACGTTTCTTTTAATTAAATCGATGTAGACGATAATAGAAGAGGGTCAATGTCAACCACATAGACACAAAAGTATAAGCAAATACATCATTTCAACAATTTCAAAAATAGGAAGAGATGGGTCCTATATCTGTAGAGGAGGTATATTTTATCTATAAAGAAGGAATGCTCCATATTTTGAAGAGGCGATGGATCCTCTAATTACAGACGACGGATTCTCTATTTGTAGAGTAGAGGATCCCTTCTATTTGTATAGTAGAGGATCCCTATATAGAGAAGGCATCCGCTGCCTATAGATGATGAATTCTCTATCTACAGAGGAGGGATTCTCTATTTAAGGAGGATGGACACTCTATCTTTGAAAGCTAGATTGTCTCTCTATAGAGGATAAATCCTCTGTCTATTGAACATGTGTTATCTGTCTGTATACTGTATATAGAGAATGGTTCCTCTATATATATGACGGATCCTCAATATATAGATGATGCATACTCTATCTATAGATAATGGATCCTCTATAGCTATAGAGGAGGAATCCTCTGTCTGTAGAAGATGGACCCTCTAACTGTAGAGGTTGAATGCTCTTTCCATAGAGGATGTATCCTCTATCCGTAGAGGATGTATCCTCTATCCGTAGAGGATGTATCCTCTATCCGTAGAGGATGAATCCTCTATCCATAGAGGATGAATCCTCTATCCATAGAGGACGAGTCCTCTATCCATAGAGGATTCATCCTCTATCCATAGAGGACGAGTCCTCTATCCATAGAGGATGAATCCTCTATCCATAGAGGACGAGTCCTCTATCCATAGAGGATGAATCCTCTATCCATAGAGGCTGAATCCTCTATCCATAGAGTATGAATCCTCTATCCATAAAGGATGAATCCTGTATCCATAGAGAGCAGATTCTCTATCTATAGAAGAACCATCCTTTATCTATAGAGGGTGTATCCTATTTCTCCCCCTCTATGGATCCTCTATGTATAAAGAAAAAATCTTTGATCACCAATGTATAAGGGAGGAATCATCAGTGCATAGAACGGTGATCCTATATATAAAGAAGGGATCTTCTATAAATAGAAAACCGGAAACTGTCATATATCTATGGAAGGGACGCTATTATATATACATTAAAGACTCCATTTAAAGAAGAATAGTCTTCTAGCAATAACCTCTATATTCAAAGTAGCGATCCTATATATCAGTCCAAGGAATTACCAATTAACTATATGCGGGAGGATAGAGGATTTTTTTATTTATAGGAGGTCTAGAATACCTCTTCCATGAATAAAATGCCTATTATGTGCATTGAAGACATCTTCAATGTATAGAATACCTTTCAATATAAATGTATAATATCCAAATCATCTCTTACTATGGAAGACCTTTTCTATGTACAAAAGACCTCTTCTACGTAAAGAAAACCTTTTCTGTATTCCGGTAAAGAGGTCTTAAAGGGGATACATCAAAACAGAAAGACACCTAAGAACCTTTTCTACGGGTACAAGTAAAACCAGTGAGCCGAGCAGTATCTTCGGACGGGGCCGATCATACGATATCCTGCACCACTTCCACGGAACTCTAACTTTTTGTTCATGTTTTTCCGAACCTGGGAAATACAGTCCTTCTAATTACTTGTTCAGATTCCCTTCACCGTGCGTTGTGTTGTGATGTTCGGCTTATAATTGTGTCCTACAGAACGACTCGAAAAAAAACACAAAAAAATAGGTTTTCGGTCCATTTCATCCCAAAATTATTATCTGGTCATCACCGAAAATTATAGGCGTTGTCCTTAACCATAACTGGAACTTCGTGAAAAATTTGAAAGCGATCAACGCTATATTTCCGCCCTCTAGTGTGGTAATGGGTTACTAAATAATATCTGAATATTGTAATTTTTAACTCCAAAGTCAGGGTCTATTTGACCCGCTAAATATTGATCGATTTTTATCAAAACAGGCATGCTAATACGTTGGCCCGATCTACTTCTCCGTGTAAAATATCGCGATTTTGGGGTCATAACTGCGGCCTTTGGAGCGAACAGAAACACCGACAAAAATTAGGTAATTGGTCCATTTCGTACTCCAAATATTAACCGATTCTTCATTGGCCAGAACCGGTCCTACATGCTAAATTTCGCGAAGATTGGTCCATAACTGTGGTCTGTATCTTGTTTATAAATTATAATGGAGAGAAGGACGGACACGCCTGTATAGATCGACTCAGCTAGTCGAGTTTGAGGAGGATGGGTATACTTAAAGGTTGGTCTACGTCCAATATTTCGTGGCGTTACAAACTCTTGGGGCTGCACGAAGCTATAATATCCTGACAACAAAGTTGTGTGGGGTGTAAAAATGGTTAGACTCGGTCGGGCCGAATTTTTATTCTTGTCACCCTGAGGTGGACATTCAAAACACATAAATTGGCAAGGGAGCCTTACATGTTAGGTATGTCAAAAGATGAATTCTGCGAAAACGAAGCGAACAAAAATAGAAAAAGGAAATTTGGGCTATAAATTATAACATCCCATTGCCGGGACCTTTATATGGAGGTTATGTAAAAGCGTATGGACCGATCTTCTGCAGATATATCGTACACCATCCAATAATTTGGTTCTAAAATTTTATATGGAGGATATACCTAAAGGTATTAGTATTTTTGATAGGAAGATTTATCATCCAATGACGAAAGGCAAAGCTATATAGGACTATATCTAAGCATGGACCTATATTGAACATTTGTGGTAGGAAGATTTTCCACATATCGAAATAGAGACAATTTGGCTAAAAACGTATCTCAAACTATCAAAATATGGAAAATAGCGAGGTACCATTATAAGGGCCTGGACCAACACATGGACCAATATTGATATTTTTTATTTATTTGTCTTTTGAGATTGGCTATATGAACGAAGTTGCAATGAAAAGGATGACGCTAAGGCACCGGAGATTGAGAGATGCCTTAGGAAAGAGGGTTCAAATTCAAGCTGGGCTCAAGCTGATTTGAGGTTTTATGTCTTTTTAGCCATTTTTGTTGAGAAGTTTTGCCAGCCAATAGGAATCCAGAATATTAAATTAGAGTCAATTTGGTTGTAAAATGTGAATGACATATGGAGGATATAGAAACACATTGTACGATGTAACCTATTTTTAATACCATACACTTATTGTTAATACCACTCACAATTCAAGACAATTAGTTTACGTTATGTTCAATATAATTAGTGTAGCAGTAAAATAGACTAAAATTTAAATATAATATTTGCCACTAGTTTTTGACAAAATTATGTCTGTTTTTAATATTAGACCACGTCCACCACGAGAATATATCGATGTTCCTCTGCCGAAATCCGTAGTTAAATCAATAGCCTTAAGAAATGCCGAAGAGGAGGCCTCATCGCCATCACCTTCATCACCGTTTGTGCTAAAATACAATTCCTGCCAACCGGTCAATAATATGAATATGTAAATATTTCTTTTGAATATTTAAATATTTTATTATATTAAATAATAATGAAAATTCTTTTCCTTCCAGCTCACCCCATTCCTTCGAGACCTCTATGTTTTCGCTGCATTCCAGTGGTCAAGATTCGGGTGTTGATTTTGTGAGTAGTCGAGAATTATATGAAACATCACCGGATTCATTTGATTCGCAGCAGTCGAAGAAGCCGTCACATAAATCCCTGTGTCCGCGTCATGCCAAGGAACATTTGGAACAGAAACACATAAAGACAAGTGGTTCGAAGCTGGATTTAAATAATACAGATTCAAGGTAAGTTTAGGGACTATTTAATGTAAAAAAATTTTGAAATAAACATTAAAGATATATAATTCAGTGTGAAAATTAAAAAGTGTAACTAATTTTACCGTCCACAAAGATTTATCTGTAATGTAGTTTTATATCACTCATTTTTATCATTTGTTCGTCTTTGTAATCCTGTAAATAACGAAAATAATTCTAACAATTTACGATTCATCAATCACCAATCATCATGTATTTTTCCATTGCATTTTTCTCTCTCTTTTTCCTTCCAGTGATAATTATGAAGATTCTTTACAGAATGATGATGCTCTAGTTGTCAGCAACTGTCGATCGCTATGCGAACATCAACTTCAACAACATCAACACCAGCAGCAACAACAACAGCAGTCGCAACATCAACAGCTCCATCAGGAACTCTATCAAAATTCACAATTCGAAAAGAAATCCTGTGTTCGGCATTCATTTTCCGGTGTCAAAGATGATCTAATGCAAAATTCCCCTGGGATATCGTTAAGGGCTCGTGGTCATATCCTGCGTAATTCGATGAATGATTTAGAGCAGCGTTTACACAATTTGGAGCAATCCTTTAAGCGACCGTTGGATTATAAAACGAAAGATAATTCATTGCAATTTTAGTTTTAGTTCGAAATGTGTATGTTCGATATATGTGTATGTCTGTGTAATTTATGTATTTTTTTTATAATAGCCATTGTGAGTGTATTTGTATGTATTTTATTTATTAGATTGTAGATTTTATTTAAAATGGTAATCCAAAGTATTAAAAACAAATTTGTGTGCAATATTTATGCAATCTATTGATATTATTAAATAATTTGTAATTATTTCTAATGTAGAATAGCTGTAATATATAGTATGTAGCTTTGTTTTTATATATTATGTATGTATTTATGTATGTATATTTAGATGTAATGTACCTGTGAATAATAAAGGAAGAATATCACAAATTTTTATTTAAATTGAAGAGATTTTACTCTGATACATATAAAATGTTTAAAAGAACATTATAGAACTAAGATCAGAAACATTTTATAGTCCAATTCATATAAGGGGAAAATATTTTGGAATCTGAATCGAATAAAACTTTAGAATTCCCTAATATATGTTTAAATTATTTCTGTATCGTTACGCATTCAAATGTTATGAAGAATCTGAAATACCGATGATTTAGCATAGCTGGTCAGTTGGCCGACACCTGTGGTATGCGGAGGAGGTCTTCGGAGTTATACACAGATTTTATTATTCATTTCATATAAGGTATGTTTAATTAAAGATGCTTCGGATTTTATGTTGATCAAATATGTAATACTAGCAAAGTGCCCGCTACTTCGTATGCGGAAAGGGAATACAAAAAAATAATAAATAACATTTCATACGAAATTCGTGTATACTGTATAATTTGTTGTACTATGGTTCTAAATTACACCCCTATTCCTACATCTAGTATCAAATTTTATCACCATTTAGTACTCTTCATGCACATAAGCACTATTTTCCGAAATCTCTTTCTTATTTCCATTATACAGAACGGCAAAAAAAATCAGAATTCAAATTATATATTTTTGCAATTACGCACAAGTTCCACATTTAGGTTTCGAACACATAAGTACACATTTAAGACTACCTTCAAGTCCAAGCCTCCATATCGCCACCACTAAATTTAGTACCAGTAAGTTCCAAAACCCCTTTGGTACTTCTTTCTAATTTTCCGTCAATGACCCACATTCCAAATTTTAGATTTCCAGAACTCTCCGTTACATAAATCGAAATTTAGTGCATTTTCTATTATATTTACTATTCGTACACATAAATTCGAGTTTTCTAAAACTTCTTCAATTCCATACTCCAACAGTAATTTTAAGCATAAAACTCAGGATCCCAGCCCTATCCGTTCACATAGATCAAAATTGTACCATATATAGTACCAATTACTACTTTCCATACTTATGATTTCGAATTTCCAACACTGTCTCAATCCAGTACTCTAACAGTAATGTTTTTTTTTCAAATATACGTTTTCCATCTCTATCCTTTCATTCCAATTTAAATTGTACTAAAGTTAGTACCATTTAGTACACATAATTACGTATTTTCAAAACTACCTCCTTGTTTCAATCCTACACTCCAACCTTACCATATTTTGTACCATTTAGTACTTCTCCTATCCAAAAGTATGAAATTCCAATAATTATAATTCCAAATCCAAAACTTAGAGTATTAAGCTCGATTCGAAAGAGTATAAATAATTTACTTAATATTTCATTCAAATGCCCTTGCCCTTACAAGGCAATATTCAAATAACAACAATTCCAAATTTAAGTTTGCCATCTCTATACGTACGCTCAAATCTGAATTGTACCAAATTTGGTACCATGTAGTACACATAATGATGAACTTTCAAAATTACCGACATATCTCAATCTTGTACTCCAACTGTAATTTTAATTCAAAATTTCAGGATCTCAGCCCAATCCGCTGATAGAAAAAAAGAACAATTTGTAAACTATTGGGTACCATTTAGTACTTTTTATTTATATAATTAAGAATTTCCTAAACTACGTCAATCCTACACTACAAGAGTAACTTTGATTCCAAAATTTACACATAATCAAGTTGTACCATTTAGTACACAAAAGTACTATGCTTCCATATCTCAATTCTACATTCCAACAGCAACCATTATTCACAATTTTAGGTTTCCAACTCTCACCGTTCACCCAAATCCAAATTGTACCAAATCTAGTGTCGTTTAGTACTTTCGTGCACATAAATACGAATTTCCAAAGATATATCTATAGGTCGGTCTTCAACAGTAATCTTAATTCCAAATTTCATGTTTTCAGCTCCATCCTTTCAAGCAAAATTCAAATTGTACTAAAGTTAGTACCATATAGTACTTTTCATACCAATAAGTACGAATTTCCTAAACTACCTCAATCCTACATTCCATAAGTCATATAAATTCCCTGTTTGAAGATTCCATGTATATCTGTTCAACTACATCCAACTTGCATCAAATTTAGTACCATTTAGAACTTTTCGTAAACATAAGTACGATTTTTTAAAACTACCACAATTTTGTACTCCAATAGTAGACCTAATTCCTATTTAGGTCTACTAGGTCTACTATTATACACTCAACTAAATGCAAATAGTACCAAATTAGTACCATTTTGTAATTGTTATACATATAAGTAGGCATTTTTTAAACCATTTTTTTAAACTATTTCCATACATGAAAACCACTTCCCAACCTATATTCTATATAACATTTCAAAATTCTAGCTTTATATTTGTTCAATATATATACAATTATAACTAAATTTAGTACTATTCGTACACGTATAGGCCGAATTTCCAAAAACCCCTTTGTACACCTTTCTAACATTCCATCACTAACCCACATTCCAAATTTCAAAATTCTTCCTGTTCGCCAGATACAAAGGGTACCATATTTGGTACATTTTAGTACTTTTCGTACCCTTCTAGTTCGAATTTCCAAAAACCCAGCCTTATCTCACGCCTACACACCAACAACAACCCACACTCAAAATTTTAAACTTCTACCTTTACCCGTTTCGTCTGGGCGATGATCTGTCTGTCAGTCACGAACACTCTCACTTAACACTAAGCTCTTTTATATATTAAGATTGAACCTCTATGTAGGAGGTACCAGAGTAGAGGGCAAACGGGTCCCACCAGAAGGAGTCGACCAATAGGTCCCATCTTGAAAATTGATCTGGGCTCGGTAACGATTATAGGTTGGGCAAAGTTTGGTTCAAATCGGATATGTAAATCTGAACCGATTTCAGTAAAAAAACTTCGCTCAGTGTACTTAATTCAGTAGGCTGTGCGATATTTTGTCTCCATCGGACACATATTGGGAGTTTGGTGTACCATTTACATAAAATCGGAAGAAAATATAGATGGGAACTATATCTAAATCTGAACAGATTTTCTACGATTTCAATAGGGTTCGTCCTTGGGCAAAATAAGTGAGATGTGCCAAATTTCACCCATATCGGAGCATAAATGCGACAATCAACTGACAGACGGACATGTATAAATCGACTCAGAAGGGATTCTGTGCATACTCGTATCCTCAAAAGGAACCATGGGTCTATCTCGTTTCCCTTTGCCTGTTACGAACATATGCACAAAGACATAATACCCTGTACCACAGTGTGGTGAAGGATATACAAATTAGAAATATTGGATTTTTCCCAAGAAAGTGTACGATTATACCATTCATATGAGACCACTTTATTTTAAATATCTTCAGTACGGAAATTAACATTCATCATATTGAAGAATTAAATTTTGTTTTATTTATTTGTTAATATTTTTTAACTTTTTAATTCGCTTAACGTATGGCGTGGATCTTCTTAAAATTTGTAAAGAGAAGCCATTGCTAATTTTTTATTTAATTTTTAATTTTCTCTTACTGTTGAGTAGTAGGTGGTTCTCAGCCAATACACTAACAGATTTTGCAGAACTATAAATGAATGTATTCATCGTTTGATGGGTAATTTTTAATTGGGGGAGTGATAAACCTTTTAAAATGTCTTTAACGTTGGAAGGCACTTTAGGGACCAACAACAGCTCTTGGAGGGTTAAAGACATCTTTGCAGATAAAGTTCAATATAGACTCATCTTCTGTGATAGCCATCGATTGTTTAAACGGTTTTTTTTTCAAATGAAGTGGCTGCAATTGTTTGTATTCTGAATTCTTCGAAGGTGAATAATTTCTTCGTCCGAAATTGTCAATATAGGGTCAATGTTCTGAAATTGTCGTAGGGCAAATTGTCCAAAAGAATGTTTTTTTTTTCAGCCTGGAAATTGTCAATATAGTCCTTTATGAAGCCCTTAGCCTTATTTTCCTACCCGAATATCTGCAATTTGGTGTTCTGATGAGGATGGCATAGACATTCATTAGTACAAAAGCAATCTCTTTGCGATCATCATTTGTGAATTGAAAAAAAATAATCTCTCCATCTATCCAATAGTGAAAGTTTCATTCAAATATCTCCCTTCGTCACAGAAAAAATCAGGAGGTATTGCCAGATTGTTTGCTTTGTGTTTCTACGTTAGTCAGCGAAATCATGAGCATACTTTTAGGCGTTACACAATGCAGAAGACAAAGTGGCACCACATTAGCATTTGTCTGTTTTTGAGGAATTGCAATTTGTTCAGTTTTCCCATTTGCCGTACCAGGCAAACAGAATCGTGTAGCAGTTATATTTTGACACATGGTCAATTTCAAAAGGCCATAACTCGGTGATTAATGAAGATATTCGAATGAAACTTTCACTATTGGATAGGTGGAGTGATGTAGTTTTTATGTATATCAGTAGTTTATCTGATAGAGTGACAGACATGCATGCAGGGAAGGTTCAAAGTAGACCAATGTGGTGGCAAGCAACCCATGAACAGGTCCCTCCCTTTGTTTTAGCATTCCGATTGTTCAGGAGATGTTTTTTCAAACGAAGTTACTTTAATTTTGGGTTCTGGCTTCTTCGAGAGTAAATAAGTACTTCGTCCAAAATTGACAATATAGGTCCATGTTCAGGCATTAACGTAGGTCAATTTTCCAAAAGGTTTGGAGTTTTTAAATGTCGTTTATATTGAACCGGATTTGGTTAACCCAGTGGGTTTAAATTTTCAATTCTTATGAATATATGCCAAATAAATCCTCATAAAGTAGGTTAACCCGGTAAAATGTTCTAATATAAATGCCGTATTAGTCTGGAAATTGACTCCATAACATGACATTGACGTAATCATTATTGGTATTTTGAAGGTCTTAGCCGAATTTTTCTTATTAGGTGTTTTGACGAGGATAACATAGCCACCATAATGTCCTGTTACATTTAGTGCCCATCTGATAATGAAGGATATGCAAATGCCAGGTGAATTGATTTGTTTTTTAGTACTAAAATAATCTCTTGGCGATCAGCATTATAAAACGTGAACATCGGTGGGAAAATATTGGACCAAAAACATGCCTTTAGCCAAATGTTATCCCGTTTGCAATCCCTTGAAAAATTCGTCGAAGACCTCATAAAGAATATAGGAAAAAGCCTACTTTAGCGCCCGACCGCGGATAGTTTGGAAATTATTACTATAGGTAGATCTTGAGGCCCTGATTACAATGGTATAATTGATCTCTCCATATTTCCATTACGAATTGAAGTTCACCATTTTTCAAAATGTTGGTCCATTATGAGCATATTTTTCGTAGCATATTACCGAACTATATATATATATTGATACATTTTTAATAAAACTAAATGTTTTTTTTTTATTTTTTTTCTAATTTTTTATTTACTTTTTTTTCTAACAATATAGAAAATATATATAAAAAACGGGATTTTTGTTGTGCTTTTACATCTAAAACATTACATGTATAAATAATTTAAAAAAAACTCATAACAAATTAACTTAACCGAAGAATTTCTTGAATTCCAAGCAACCGGCCCAGTTTTCTTCCCAGCCGGGAACAACAGTCTTGCAGTGTTCGTACCATTTGGCAACATTGGCGTATTTGCTGAAATCGAAACCGGCAACATCGAAGGTGCTGACACTGGCCAACAAAGCCAAATCGGCAACGGTCAATTGATCACCGGCAGCATATTGGTGACCCTCCAAGAAGGTGTTCAAGAAATCGAAAGCGGTTTCCATCTTCTTGAAGTTCTCAGGATCGGCGGGAGCCTTGGCGAAGATCTGAGGATAGTAGTAATCGGCGAAGCTCTTGTACAAGGTACCGAGATCGAAGTACAAACGTTGATTGATAACGGCACGCTTCTTGGGGCACTTGGGGAACAAGGAATCGGTTTTGCCGTATTTCTCGACCAAGTAGACCATAATGGCACGAGATTCCCACAAGGCGAAATCGCCATCGACCAAGGTGGGGATGGTGTGTTGGGGATTGATCTTCAAGAATTCGGGTTTCAAGTGTTCGCCGGCTTGCAAGTTCAACAATTTCTTGTTGAGTTCAATGCCCAAGGAGGCGGCGGTCATCAAGACACTGCGGCAGGGAGCGGAACCGGGCAAGTAGTAGAAATCCATTATGGTTTGCTGTAAAAAACGAAATAACAAAAGAATGATTAGTTGTGGTGGCCTTGAGAAGTTTTCATATTATTTTAGTTAATTTTTTTGTTTTGCAACAACGGATGTTGATTGTAATCGTTGTAATATGAACAGATGTTTGTTTTTGTAAAAATTTCAATTGGATTTTCAATTGTTTGCTTTAATTGAAAATTGTATGCCAGTTTGGCAATAAAAATATTTTTTCTTTATTACTGGGCAAATTTTTTCTATCTGCATACACTCTCAGGAAAAAAATACAACAAAACTAATTTATTGGCTTAAATGAGAGCACACCCAAAACAGTTATATTTGTTAACTGTTATCTGTTATCTGTTATACAAAATTCCAGAAATAGCCATATCTTGGTTGTCATTTCAAATTTTTTTTATATATTTTTTTCAAATTCACTTGGTTTCATGTTTTTTTTTTTTTTGCAATTTCCTTGCATCAATTTTATTTTCACTTGGCATCCTCTCAAAATTTTTCGTATGATGTCATATTTGCAATCTTAATTTTTTTCTTGGTCTTTTCATCCTAACACATCCGTTGTTGTTGCACTGCTGTTGCATGTCAAGAAGGGGCACTGTACTTTTGAGCTTGTTATTTTTTTAATATTCCTTAGTTCCGATCTTTACCTTTCAAGTGCTGTCTGGAGCTGTGTACGTTACAAAATTCAACGAACGACTGAAGTTTAATGGCAAGTTGATGGCTATTTAAGCTGTTTTCTCCCAAACGAAGCCGGCTGTATTTTGTTGTTGCCGCCTGTCGCCCCTTTTCGAAATGCTTATCTTTTCGTTTTCTTGAACTGGTCAAACAAACAAACGAACGAACCAACACCAACATGCCAGCACCAGCAGCAACAACAACAACTACTATTAATCGAGTGTGATTGTTGTTTGCAAATGTTTTGTGTGTCCCCCCATTCGTGTGAGAAATCGTCGAATGAGAGAGAGAGAACCCAACAGATGAGAGACGCCAACCGGCAAGTGGGTTTTTTTTTTGTTGAGTTTTATCACATAGTTTTTGTTAGTGGGGGTAATCTCACGCTCTCCCCGAATGCCTCCAAAGAACAATGTATTAAAAAACAAGCAACAATAAAAAAAACTGAATTTGTGCCAACATAAGACGTTGGTTGGGGTCGTACACTTGTACTTTGCAATAATTATTAATTTTTGTTGTTGTAATTGTTGTAACTAAGTAAAGTTGGACACAAACACGAAGTTAATGGCGAAAAAACGGTTACAACATTAAAGAACGAAAATTCCAAGAAAACAACAAAGTATTAGATGTTGTTGGTATAAAGATATTTTTTGTAGTTGATTGGGTACATATTGGGGTAGGCAACATACATATTTACATATAAATTTTTTCTCATTGTCATTTTGGGGGTTGAAGTTATTGCATGAAAACTCGCGAAGTTTCTATTATCCATAAAAGGGTTTGATAAAGTTTTGTCAAATCATCTATGATAAGCTTCATGAACCACTTATAAAAATCCACAAATATAAACAAAAATAAAGTAATAAGGTTATGACTAAGCTACGCATAGTTTATGCTCAACAAAAAACTTAGTCACAAATTTACCACAAAATTTAAAATTTCAACAAAATCGGATGTATCATAATGTTGGGTTAGGCGTTTTACATATTTTCCGACAATTGGGTTTTTTCTGATACTTAAATAAAAAATAGAGGTAAAAAAGTGTCAATTGTTGCAATGACAACAAGTCTTGTTTAGGGCCCGATCCCGAGTTTTAAACTTTCGGCTGAGGATTTAAAAATTTGTCCATGAGGCAGATGACAACCCAGCTAAGCGACAGAATCTTTTCTTATTCGAGAAGAAACAATTGAAAAGCGTTAAGCTCGGCTGGGCTGGGAACTTTGGATACCCTCCACCATAGATATACTGACAGGTACTTGAAATTAAAATATAGGGAAAATACCAAAAAGTGAACCTATACCGACATTTCTACAAACCGAGTATGTAAACCAAAAAGTACATCAAATACAAATGTCAGCAATTTTTAAAGATATTTATACCCTCAGCGTTATGGCTATGTAGACACTTTGATACGGTGAAAATGTGCTTTCAAAATATTAGTTCTAGACCCCATGTTTCTTTCGACCAAACCCGTTTCAGAAAATTTGGATTTCATTTAAACTTAGCACATCTTAATATTTCTTCCAAAATTAGTTCAAGTTCGAATATATGTCCACTTCTTCTGGTACCTCCCACACAAAATGGTCCACATTGTGCAAAAAAAAAAAAAATAATAATTTTATAATATCATGCGTACGGACTATCCTATTTGAACAAAACTTTGCACAACCTGTTATCTTTTTGAAGTCTAGATCAAGTCCGAAGATAGGGCTCTGCTGTGTGTAACTCCGAAGACTGTCCTCTCCTGTGTGTAACTCCGAAGACTTTTTCCGCAAACCATAGGTTGAGAGTATATATCTGTCGGGAACGCTGACTGACATTTTTTTACTTGATGGTAGGGTGAAAAATCCCCAAAATACTGCAATCTAGAGGGCATCACCAACGTACCCAGCTTTTATTTCGGGAGGTCGCACAGTGGGTTAGAATAATTAAAAATAAAATTAATTTAAAAATAAAATTTTAAGTATCGTTAAAATTTTTTGCACCCGGTTACAGTATATAAAATTCTGCAACACTTGTCGTTAAAATAAATGTCAAAAGTGGTCTGGTGTTTTTGTAGTGAAACTTCAAAGTCAAACTTTATAGAAATTTTTGTGCCAAAAAAGGCTGAAAAAAGTGAAAAAGTTCCCCTAGAAAATTTTATTTATTTTAAAAAGTATTGTAAAAGTTAAACATTTTTCAATGGAACCATGAAGTTCAGGTTATTTTGCAAATATTTCGTTAACATTTTAGTATCAAATTGTGTTTGGAAGTGATTTAAATGTAGTTATTTATATTGAAAATGCCAAAAAAATTAATATTTTTATATTTTAAATGGATAAATAGTTATTATTCGCCCACATTCGTTTCATAATTTTTGGTTTATCTTAAAGAGGACATAAATCTGTGTCATATTGCAAAATTTTACGCTGCCCTTTTGTGCCTTTTAGAAGCTACGCATTGTTTAATACAAGTGTTGCAGCAGTCAAATTAGCTAAAAGTCACATTGATTTCGTGACTGGTGCTGTTGTTGAGTGTTGTGTTTTCTTATTTTTCATGTTATTTTTTCTAATTATTTTATTGGTGCTATTTTTGTTTCTTTTAATAATATTCTTAGTTACAATAATATTTTGTTTTTGTTTATTTTAATAATATTCTTTGTTTTGACAAATAGTGATAGTGTTGTGCAGTTTCAAGTAATCGGGTAAAAGGGTTTTTATTAGCATTTTTTATAGATACAAGTTCGAAAGCTGTTTTTATGATCGTCGAAGCTTATGGTGAATTCGAGGGCTCAAACAATGAATGACAAGATGACATTTTTAGCTAAAGAAATAAAAAAACGCACCAAAACGCTAAAAAAATCTACCGAAATAACAAAAATAGATGTTAATTTAATAAACAATTCACGTGTCGGTTATAGCTGTATCCAGTGGCCATAAGATTAATAGTGAAAAATTTCAAATATATGCACACAATACAGGACGACTTTTTGTTGAAACGTATCCTTTGTATAATATGCCTACCACTTTGCACAAGTTTTTTATTCACGGATTCTAAATTGTGTCAAATGCCCTTTTACATATTGAGCAGTTATCAGAAGTTGGTGATGCTGCCGACATAGATGGCCTGTCAGAAACAGTGACATAAATGACATACATTTCCGACGTATAATACATACGTCAGAAACGTCGGAAACCCACTCAAAACCATTAGGTTTTTGATAAAATAGCTATTTACATTTATCGAATTTCAAAATTTTTTTCTTCAAAAAGTTCAGAATTTTTTATCAGTTCTAGTAAAGAATAGCCAGATATACAGTAAAAATAATATATGTTCTTGAAAATTACTGTATATGGTGATAATATTGAAATAAATGACGTTTACTACATTTTATACAGGTATATGACGTTTTCGACGTTTACACCTTTTTGACAGTCGAAAACCTGAAAATTCGTCATACGGACCATCCCTGGCTGCGTGGATGATGATGATGTGGATGATTAACTTTAAGATATATAAAATTCAATGTTTATGTTATCATATTGTACTCCTTACACTATATACCTACACTGATATTTGGCATTACTTAATAAAACTATACTCAAATATACTTAGAAAACATTTTTTTTAACTTATTTTAATGGTATTAACTGAAAAATAAAGAAAAATTATTCTAACATAGCTTCCCTGATTTGATCCAAGAAAACATGGTACTCTAACCCACTGTGGGTCGGGTGGAAGCTGTTTTTTTTTTTTCAATATGAAAATTGGTATTGCAGAAAAAAATTTGTATGAATACGTCCCTGAAGGCTATACCTTAACCGGTACCAATGTTGATTAGATCGTGTAGGAATTACCGAATATTTGTAGTTATCATTATAAGAGGTGCTATGCCTAATTGTGTACTGATAAAACTCTATTTTGAAACTAACATTTTTGCATCAGAACACATTTCTTTACGCTAAATATTAAAAATATCGAAAATCGGTAGGTATCATGGGGGCTAGGCCTATATCATATATAGTTCATTACCGAACCTTACGTTCTAGCTTTTTATCTCGATATCCTCCGCATAAGGACAGTAGTAAAGTCAGACTATATGATACCCTTCACCACTTTGGGTATATTATACATATGTATCCTTACAATTGCATGTCAATGTTCTCTCGAAGAGACATACTCATGTCTTTTGCAACCTTTGCTAAATGTAATTTCATTCGGGCAGATTTAGAGTCGTCTGCGTGCCATGGGACAAATTTATGGAATATATATATATACATATATATATATATATATATATATATATCGACATGCAAATGTAAGGATATACCCAAAGCGGTGAAGGGTATAATATAGTCGGCCCAGACCGACTTTCCTTACTGGTTTTTTATCAGTGTGTTGACCATCTGTGGGGAGGTACCAGAAGAGGTTGTCCTATATAGCACATCTTCAAATTTAATGTAGGTTCAGTAAGATATTACGATGTCCAAACATTTAAATCGGTTGGCCATTTTGTGTCGGAGTTACCAGAAGGAGAGGACCAGCGGATCCCACCTTCGAACTTGATATAAGTTGGAAAGAATTTTTTCCGATATGCACAGATTGGATCAAATCGGATTTCCATATTAAACAAATTTCAAAATATTGGCCGTTTGTGGGGGAGGTGCCACGAGGAGTGGTTCGTTTAAGTTTGAAAGACATTTTTCCGATGTAGTTGGATTAAATCGGACATTTCATACGATTGTTATTGGATTAACAAATATTAAAAAAAAAATACCCTCTGTGAGGAAGGTACCAGAAGGAGTGGGACGATGTGCCCCATTTTTGAGACTATCTAGGCTAGATAAAAATATTACGATGATCAAAACGTGTATGAAATTAGGATATTCTCACTTCGGCACTAAATTCTTCAGAATATCGAAAATGTTGTGAGACCTAAATGAGGGAGCTAGTTCAAAACTTGAACCAAGAAATAATATTTGAGGGTATATATATGTCGGCATAAACATCTGACACTTTTTTACTTGTATTTTATTATTTCGTTTTTTCGAAAAGCATACGTCCAAATTTTTTTAGCCCTTTAAGAACCGATTTTTGTCTTTACCTATATAACTACCATTTTTTCTTTATAAGATTTAATTTTTTCAAAATTTCTTTACACCCTAATTAACATTCACACGAGCCCCTTTATATATTAAACAATAATATACATACATAAACGGAATCCAACAACAATTTCAATAAAAAAAAATTCTAGTTGTCGCAAAAAAATCTACAACCACATCTGCTCAATAATTGAACGGAATATTTTTGGCTTGTTTGTTTGCTCATTCCATGGGCTCTCTCCCCATCAAGACCGGCAGATAGCAGAGAGCTACGAGAACATTCTTTTTTTGTTTATTGCAATTTCTATATTTTTCCCCTCTGTCGTTTTTATTATTAATACACAGAATGTGGATGAGTTGTCTCCTTCTATACACAAACTGTGTATGGGCAACAACAACTTGTTATCCTCTAATGTTACGCCGGCATAAAAAACAATAATGACAATGATTTGGCAAAAAATTTGATTTTTTTAAATATTTGTGAAATAACTTTCATGCGCAGAATGGAATTATTAGTTTTTTCTTACTGTGGAAGATTTTGTATTCTTAAATAATATTAGAATTCAAACAGTGTTTACTAACGCCTTGTTGAAGGCGAACATAAGCCAAATTAGTTAAGTTTTGTTGAAAGTGTGTTCGATTGTAACACCAAACCCCGAGGCTCGTTATTATTTAAGTCGGTCCTATCCCAACACTACATTAGTTGAATTAATCAAAATTAATCTAGTGGCCTTTGATATATTTTTTCAGTATTGTTGGCGGGTTATTTGGGATACCATTTGTATTCTTTTTTTCCAAAATTGTCAAAAAAAAAAAAAAAAAAAAACTGGGATTCAGCCGGACTATTTTGCAAAAAAAAAAAAAAAATATTAAAAAAAAAAATTAAAACTCCACACATCTTGTGGTCTTTGAAAAAATAAATTTTAAAAAATCCACGCCTCTTATGGTCCTTGAACAAATCATTTTTAAACTAGTGAACGGAGCAGTATAGTCGGACGAGCCGATACCCTACCTTCCACGAAAATATAACTTTCTGTGGTTCTATATTCTGAGTTTGGACAATATTTGCACCCTCTTGTCTAGAGGTTAACAAGTATAACTAATATTCAGTACAGCCCTTCTAATTACTTGTGCCGATTCCCTTCACCGTGGGTTTTGTTGCGATCGAATCGAAAAAAAAAACAAAAAATAAGTTTTCAATCTACTTCATCCCAAAATTATTATATGATCATTACCGAAAATTATTGGCGTTGTCCTTGACCATAACTGGAACCTCATGGAGCATTTCAAAGCGATCAGCGCTATATTTCCGACATCCATCGTGGCAATGGTTTACTAAATAATATTTGAATACGTAAGCACCTGTAAATAATTCAATCTGAGTACATACGATAATATAATTGGTACCAATTTAAAGGCCAACCACTACTCTTGGATATACTATCAACATCTCGGGTCTATGTCCTTCAGATGTAAATATATACGCTAAAGAATACAAATTTTGTAATTTTTCACACAAAAATCAGGATCCATTTGACCGATCTTTATCAAAACTTCCATGCTTATTGTTTGGCCCATAATTGCGGCCTCTGGAACGACAAGAAAACCGACAAAAATTAAGTATTTGGTCCATTTCATCCCCTAAATATTAACCGATCTTTAACAAAAACAGTGGGGGTCTTCATTGGGCAGAACCCATCCTACATGCAAAATTTCGTGAGGATTGGTCGATAACTGTGGCAAGTATCGTGTTTACAAATTATAATGGGCAGACGGACGGACGGACACACATGTCTAGATCGACTCAGCTAGTCGAGATATGACGATCGGTATACTTAGACATAATTCAGTACGCTGTGCCAAATTTCATGCAAATCGAAAGGTATATAGGAACATAGGAACTTTGGTGCACCATTTACATAGCACGATTTTGTCGAAACTTGACACATATCGTTCTGCACCTAATTCAGTACTCTATGCCAAATTTCATGCAAATCGAAAGATATAGAGGGACTTTTGTGCCCCATTTACCTTAAATCGGACGAAACTATATATGGGAGCTATATCTAAATCTGAACCGATTTTTCCCAATTTAAATAGGGTTCGTCCTTGGGCAAAATAAGTGACTTGTGTCAAATTTCATCCAAATCGGATCATAAATGCGACCTGTACTTTGTTTACAATTTAACATCTGCAGACGGACGGAATGCATAAATCAACTCAGAAAGTGATTCTATGCATATTCTCAAAAGGCCTGTTACAAACATATGCACAAAGACATAATACCCTCTACCACAGTGTGGTGAAGGGTATAAATACTCGCCACTTGTGATCCTTGAAGAAATATTCTTTAAAAAATCCACGCTTGTAATGATCCTTTAAAAACATATTTAAAAATCCACGGTTTTGCGAAGCATTGATTTTGAGGCATCTGGAAACCTACCTCGCATATCCACCAAAAAATCTCCAAACCACACAACATTCCCCAATAAATAATTGTATTTGTCTTAAATAAAAATAAATATTTACACAAAAATTATTTTATTTGGGTATCAGTGTCTTCATCTCCAAGGCACCAGTCCAATTTTCATCAGCACCCGGTGCTGTCTCCTTAACCAAAGCATACCATTTCGTCAGATGTTCATATTTACTGAAATCAACATTCACAGCTTCGAAAGTACTGACCGAGGCTAACAAAGCCAAATCGGCCAATGTGAGATTATCGCCGGCAGCATATTTCGATTCCGACAGGAATGTATTGAGGAATTCGAATGCCTCTTCCAATTTCTTCAATTGCTCAGGATCGGCAGGTTTCTTCTCTTTGAATTGTGGATAGAAATAGTTGGCGAAACGTTGATACAGTGTACCAATATCGAAGTATAGACGTTGATTTATAACGGCACGTTTCTTGGGACAACTAGGGTACAAAGGATCATCCTGCTTGCCATATTTTTCAACCAAATAGACCATAATGGCACGTGATTCCCAAAGGGAAAAGCCATTATCGACCAGCGTGGGAATGGTGTGTTGGGGATTGATTTTCAAAAATTCTGGTTTCAAATGTTCACCCTCGAAGAGGTTAAGTGTTTTTTTGTTCAATTCAATGCCCAAAGCTTTGGCTGTCATTAGCACTGAACGGCAGGGTGCCGATAAGGGGAGATAATAGAAATCCATGGCTGTGAAGAAATGATAAGAAAGAACAAATATTAAAAATTATTTTTTTGGAAAAGTAATTGCTGATAAAAATTCAGAATCATAAAACTATTTTTTGAAAACTTACTTTTTGTGAGGTTCAACTAGTGCGGGAAATATGCCGATCTGCTCGGTATGATATTTGATGGCTAACTGTTTGCACGGTATGCCTGAATACATAGAATATAGTGATAGCTGTTGAAAACTAAATATCTTAATTCAGTGTTATTTATTAGCAGCGAAGAGAGAGCCTTCGAGAGAATAGTTTTTTCGGGTATATAGAGGAAGAGGTGTGAAACTATTCTCCCAACATATATTGTTTGTTAATTTAATGCAAAAGAAAAATCAACACAAAGCAACAATAAATTATTTAATATGCTAATGATGTTTGTATAGCTGTCACCGTGCACAGTGGACGAAATTGCAAAATTTGCGGAATTAATTAAATATTTGAAAACTTTGATAAATATAAACCAGTAAGGAAAGTAGTAAAGTCGGATTGGGCCGACTATATGATACCCTTCACCACTTTGGGTACATTCTACATATGTATCCTAACAGACGTCGCGTTTTTGTTATATATCTATATCTGAACCGATTTCAGGGAAACTTGCCAGAGACTAATTTGTATTACTTCAATACGTTGTGTCAATCGGCCTAGCTATGGATCTTTTCACGAAGCTTAGCAACATCATTCTAGACTTAATTCAGTACCCTATGCCAAATTTCGTGCAAATCGAAAGATATATAGGGTATTTGATGCACCTATTACCTTAAATCGAATGAAAATACATATGGGAGCTATATCTAAATCTAAACCGATTTTCAGGAAACTTGACACACATCTATCTAGGCCTTATGTAGTGCGCTATTCCAAATTTCGTGCAAATCAAAGCTTTAAAGGGACTTTAGTGGACTATTTACCTAAAATCGGACGAAACTATATATGGGAGCTATATCTAAATCTGTCCCGATTTCCCCGAAACTTTGCACACATCATTATAGACTTAATTCAGTACAATATGCCAAATTTCGTGCAAATCGAAAGATATATAGGGACTTTGGTACACCATTTACCTTAAATCGGACGAAGATATATATGGGGACTATACCTAAATCTAAACCGATTTTCACCAAACTTAGCATACATTATTACAAACGAAATTCAATACGCTATGCCAAATTTCGTGCAAATCGAAAGATATATTGGGACTTTGGTACACCATTTCCCTTAAATCGGACGAAAATATATATGGGATTTATATCTAAATTTCACCCGATTTTCACGAAACTTAGCACTCATCATTCTAGACTTAATTCAGCACGCAATGCCAAAATTCGTGCAAATCAAAAGATTTCCAGGGACTTTAGTAGACTATTTACCTAAAATCGGGCGAAACTATATATGGGAGCCATATCTAAATCTGAACCGATTTTCACGAACATTTTCGCACATCATTACTCACATCATTCTAGACTAAATTCAGTACGCTGTGCCAAATTTCGTGCAAATCGGAAGATATATAGGGACATTTGTA